AACCCTTTCTAGAATAATTCAAAAGTTACAATCCTGGCCGTTTTTTGATGACTTCCCTGTATGTACCATGTACCACCTCCCTGTATGTGGATCGTGTTGGTATGACTTATTACTAATCTCCTCAGTGTAAAGAAAAATCAAAGCGATTGATTGCATGAATACGTACAGAAATATTCAATGATTTATTCAACGTATCTTTACAATTTTTAGTTCAATCTGTATTCAATTATTCCAAAATATTGTTCCAATAATAATAGATTCTCATTTCTCAGATCTTTTGGCTATGAGATGAAGTTCTACAAACCTCGTAGATCAATGTCAATATTGCCTTGTGCAAACTTGCGTTTTTGATATGATATGGTGGATAATTGATTGGCCAATGATGGATGATGCGTAGGTATCGCATTTCCCTGTTGTTTTTTGAATTCCTTTAATAATATTGGTGTATTGCCTGTATTGGTACACAGGTCCAGTAAGATCCTTGATGGAAATTTATAACATTCCTTCCTAGAAACACCCGTTTCAGTCTCATTAATTCTAACAAGACGAATCCTTATTTTTCATAATCAATTTCAACACTCGTACATTAAAATGATTTTTTTCTGTGACGGGAAAAAAGTTTGGCATTTCATCTCTGTTGGCAGGTTATTAAATGTCACTTTTCATGAAATACTTTTTTCTCACGGGAAAAAAGTGAGTACTTTTTTCACGGATATACAGGGTGACCCAGGGGTGCGTGCTTGGTCCATAACTTTTCTTCTATCCAAGCTATCGACTTGATTTTTTCTTCAAACGATAGGTCCGACAATGAAGCACATTCTGAAAATATTTTCATTTATATACAGGATGTCCCAAGATTAAATACATAACTAAGTTCTGTTTTTTCAAATGGCAACCACCCATTTTTGTTACATTTTTGGATTCGCTACTAAATTGTCGATATAACGCACCCGGGTTTCATAGACTTATCTGTAATAGTTTTTGACTTATGTCAATTTATGTGTCAAATTAGCTTCGTGCATGGACCCACAAAACAATTCATAACTTCAGAACCATGCAAGATAACTCAACCAAATTATCTTCAGTCGATTCCTCAAGCTTCAGCAAATCTTTTGAAATGCAAGCGAACTCGAAGACGATGTTCCATCGCCTACTACGTTTTTTTTTTTAAAGACAAATTTTAAATGGCAATAACTCGACTTTTCGAAATGGAACACCCTGTATTTCATTGCACTATTGGATGGCATTTTTTGAGAGCTTTCCGTCGATATAGGGTTTGTGGGGTCTACTTTGTGAAGTTTGCGAAATATGTTGCAAAATAAGAAATGTGGATGGTTTTTGAGGAATCTAGTAGGCCGCTGTCGTAAAATTTGAAATATCCATACAATTATGAAAAGGATATGTTTTTGAAACAGGAGTACATCACAAACAAAACAATTCTAGTAATTTTTATAAGAACAGGAAAGAGTGATTAACAGAAAACCATGTGTAAATTTTGAGGAAAGGCTACTTATAAATGCTCAAATAGGCCACCATCCTGTTCCACACAAGCTTCTAGTCTTCTTGTGAATGAGTCCCGAACTCTAGCAAGCACTGCTCCATCAATTGCACGGAAGGCTTCCGTGATCCTATTTTTCATATCATCTGCAGTTGTCTTCTTCCTTTGGGGGTACGTGAAGGAAAGGGTATTCAGAGATCGTCCGACAACTGCAGATGATATGAAAAATAGGATCACGGAAGCCTTCCGTGCAATTGATGAAGCAATGCTTGCTAGAGTTCGGGACTCATTTACAAGAAGACTAGAAGCTTGTGTGGAACAGGATGGTGGCCTATTTGAGCATTTATAAGTAGCCTTTCCTCAAAATTTACACATGGTTTTCTGTTAATCACTCTTTCCTGTTCTTATAAAAATTACTAGAATTGTTCTGTTTGTGATGTACTCCTGTTTCAAAAACATATCCTTTTCATAATTGTATGGATATTTCAAATTTTACGACAGCGGCCTACTAGATTCCTCAAAAACCATCCACATTTCTTATTTTGCAACATATTTCGCAAACTTCACAAAGTAGACCCCACAAACCCTATATCGATGGAAAGCTCTCAAAAAATGCCATGTAATAGTGCAAAGAAATACAGGGTGTTATATTTGAAACATTCGAGTTATTGCCATTTGAAATTTGTCATTTAAAAAAAAACGTAGTAGGCGATGGAACATCGTCTTCGAGTTCGCTTGCGTTTCAAAAGATTTGCTGAAGCTTGAGGAATCGACTGGAAAAAATTTGGTTGAGTTATCTTGCATGGTTCTGAAGTTATGAATTTTTTTGTGGGTCCATGCACGAAGCCATTTTGACATATAAATTGACATAAGTCAAAAACAATTGCAGATAAGTCTATGAAACCCGGGTGCGTTATATCGACAATTTAGTAGCGAATCCAAAAATGTAACAAAAATGGGTGGTTGCCATTTAAAAAAACAGAACTTAGTTATGTATTTTATCTTGGTACATCCTGTATATAAATGAAAATATTTTCAGAATGTGCTTCGTTGTCGGACCTATCGTTTGAAAAAAAAATCAAGTCGATAGCTTGGATAGAAAAAAAGTTACGGACCAAGCACGCACCCCTGGGTCACCCTGTATATATCACATATATACAGTCTGTCCAAGATAAGGTTGCACTGCATGGAATATGGAAATGAGGAAAAAGTTGCGCATTCGGAGGCTCATACCAACAGCCTTCGAATATTTTCAAATTTTTTTTTAGTTTTTTTAGTTATATCGAGAAAAGTGAATTTTTGGAATCTCTATTTTTTTTCTCCGTTATTATTAGAGATACAGGAAAACTAAAAATACTTTTTCATAGCAACTTTTGATGACGTTTAACGTGGTGATACCGATTTTTCTATGCGACGTTTCGTATTCGTAGAACCATCATCAACTTTTGTTTTTTAAATACGGCCCTGATAATTCTTTCACAGATTCTGAAAGCTTTTTTTATTCTGAATTCAACCATGTATTATACAAGGTGGTTTGAATGTGTTTCGAACTATTTTTAGCCATCATCAATGTTTTTTTCGAAATTCCAGAGGAAAAATGCCATCAGTTTCACTTATTTCTGATTATTCAGTGTCAAACATTGATGGACTAGTTATTCAATACTGAAAAGTGAAAAATTATTCAATGCAGCGCTTCGAATTGTTTATGAATTGTATTCATATTTTAATCCGAAGGAGCTTGTCATAATTAAATTTTTCGAACTAATTATTCCTATAAGTCTATCAATCGGAACTAGTTGATGAGGTATTAGTTTGTTGGCTAATTTTCCTTCAAAATAAGTGGAACTGATGGCATTTTTCCTTTGGAATTTCGAAAAAAACATTGATGATGGCTAAAAATAGTTCGAAACACATTCAAACTACCTTGTATAATACATGGTTGAATTCAGGGCATTCAGGGCATTCAGGGCCGTATTTAAAAAACAAATGTTGATGATGGTTCTACGGATACGAAACGTCGCATAGAAAAATCGGTATCACCACGTTAAACGTCATCAAAAGTTGCCATGACAAAGTATTTTCAGTTTTCCTGTATCTCTAATAATAACGGAGAAAAAAAATAAAATAGAGATTCCAAAAATTCAATTTTTTCGATATAACTGAAAAATTAAAAAAAAATTTGGAAATTTTCGAAGGCTGTTGGTATGAGCCTCCGAATGCGCAACTTTTTCCCCATTTAACCGACTTCGTATCTCCTACCGTTTCCGAGATCCCCATGCAGTGCAACCTTATCTTGGACTAGACTGTATATGTGATATACAGGGTGTTTCATAATTGAATGTCAATATTTGGGGAGGCGATTCTTGGGCCCATTCAAAGAAGAAAGTTTCATATGAACGTAAGACCTAAACATCCTAACTTTTGAGATACAGGGTGGTAAAGTTCTCAAAAATGAATAGGTTTTTATTAATATCTGTAATACCACTTCAGATATTCTGATGAAATTTGGCATACATGTACTATGTATCAAGAGGCATCAGTTAGCGTACCACATTTTTTGTTGTTGCCACCAGTGGCGTTCGTATGGAATTTCACATACCTATTTTGGCAGACATTGATGGTACGCCACTGATTAATCTCCAAATTGAAATCATTCCTGAAATTTCCAATCATTTCTAAGAAAATTTGGTCACTACAATTTTTTCAATCTGATGCACGGTTTTCGCTTAAAAAAATAACAAGCTTCTTACTACATTATTATAGCAATATCGTTAATATGACAATATCACAATGCAGAGAACTAGATTTTATTTCTTAGGTCGAATTTCAGAAATACAATTCATAGTTTATGAACTTCGTATTCATATTTGGTATTTTGGAATTATCACTTCTCATTGTAGTAGGCTATATTAATTTTAGAGAACATTACCACCCTGTATCTCAAAAGTTAGGACATTTAGGTCATACGTTCATATGAAACTTTCTTCTTAGAATGGGCCCAAGAATCGCCTCCTCGAATATTGACATTCAATTATGAAACACCCTGTATATCCGGGAAAAAAGTAATTTATGAAAAGTGACATTTTATATCCTGCCAACAGAGATGAAATGCCAAGTTTTTGTCCCGTCACAGAAAAAATTGTATTCATAGTATACCATGAATAATAAGTTAGTCGAGTGATGATTCTATTTAAGACATAAAAAAAATTGCTCCACTCGCCTATTGTAAATTTTTGTCAACAGTAAAAACACAAGAACACAAGAGTTTTTTTTATCGGATAAATTTCTCTTGGTAACGAAAAACATTTGCCGATCAGTGATTCCACGAAAAAATTGCGAGACAGTAGATCCAGCAATTCTGTCAGTTTTTCGAGAGAAATAACTGATTGAAAATGTTCGAGTTATAGTAAGGAAATTTATCTAATTAAAAATAAAAAAATTCCAGTGTTTTTTGGCAAGATAAGTCAACGACAATATACAAATAAACAACAATAAGGATTACCTTTGTTGATGATACCGTGTAACTGGTAATTTGCGGAATTGATTTTCTCATATTTTCGTGATTTCTTCAGACGAAATTTTTCTAAAACGGCCAACTTGCCAAATTACGCGTGATTCATACCCATCAATCAAACTTGACACGACAGAAATTGGAGTGACATCAGGCGCAAATAGCTACTATATCAAATGAGCAGCGATAAAAAAGGTGCATCCTTTTTCCGTGTAGGAAACAGAAATTCATAACATAGATAAAAATGGTTGCTGAACTAGCAGAAACATTTATAACAGATCCACACGGCATTCATAAAATCACACTTTTGCAGTCAGTTCTGTAACAATTTATTCACCGTCCAAATTAAAACTGCCACATAAACACAAAACTGCACTTTTAATCCGGGAAAACGTTCTCGACGCAAAGGCAACCGATCTAAAAAGATACAGGGTAAGTCAGTCTCAACCTAACCGGAATTCTTTAGAACAAACCAAAATATCAAAACAATTTTCTACATAGGAAAGTTTGTTGAATCTTCAACACAATGGGGAAGATTCCTATATCGCGGTTATTATCTCGCTGTGAACTTTGTAAAAAATTGATAAATACGTTTTTTTTCTTCGTAAGATCAATTTTCACTTCAGAAAAAAATAAATAGAAGAGGAACTTGGCTCCTCCACCATTCCTATGACTTACTTTCTGAAAATCCACATTCACACCAGAGTTAAAATACGATTACCTGTGCCAGAACGACGTTGCCGATATCATATATATACAGTGTGACCCATTTAAGATGGAAGCACCCTTATAAAACTTACATTTTTCAACCGATTGGAATGATTTTTTTTTGTTAGGTAGATATTCAAAAAGTCTATTAGGACACCAAATATCATGAATAAATCTCCATTTCCAGGGCCAACTAATCTGATTTTTCAAGGTCAAAAATCTAAAAAAATTACTAGCGATTTTTTTAGAAAAAAACTGACTACACCACTGGATTTGTGACATTTTCAAATGAGTAACATGTAAATTACGTTGAAATGCGTCAATCAATAAAAAAGTTATAAAGGAATGAAATTTGAAAAATATGCCGTTTAATCAACCCATCAATTTTTATTACTGAACAGATTTCGATGAAACTGTGATCAGTAATATCTCAAGACATTCTGAATCCAGTGGAGTATACAGAATTTTCATAAAATTCCTGAACATGTTGCTCCTTTTTGGACCTAAAAAAAAACTAGTATGTTCTCAATAATTCTCGAAGATAAATCACTCACTCAATTGAAAGAAATAAAATCACTCTGTGAATTGAATATTGAAAATGCAAATTCGAGAAACACCTGTAAATAAAACGCCCCGTATATTTTCGTTCGTTCTACGGATTTCCGGAAATCGTACAGGTCAAAACTGACACCCTCACATACCTCGCGACGCATTTCGATCATTCTCTCCACACTAGAATGTTTGTATACCTAGAAACTTTCACGAAAATTAATTTTTCTCTTCTTTCTTCTCTTTGGTTTCTTCACCCTCCTGACCGCTACTGCTGCTGCTGCTGCCTGAACCTTCTCTTTCGGCGGCCATCTGCAAAAAGAAACGGAAAAAACTCGATCACACTGTATGAAAAAAGTGCGGGAGCAGTCTATGGGGACTGCCGATAGAAGTGAAAACTGAGTAACTTGTGAATTGTATCGCCGAGCTATTGGATTATAATTTTTCTACACTTTTTCAGTTCACTTGAATCTCCCGATTCGGACGAATGATTCATAATCACCGACCCTGGAAACCCTCAGGTACAAATTTTGAATAGAATCGGATCATAAATTCAAAACTCGTCAGCCATATTGTATCCGCCATCTTGAATTTCATAGTTTTGACGAAGGAATCATAATCTCCGACCCCGAAAACCCTCAGATATAAATTTTGAATAGAATCGGATCATAATAACTACAAAACTCCTCCGCCATATTGGTTCCGGCATCATGAATTTTCAAATTTTGACGAACGAATCATGATCTCCGATCCCGAAAACCCCCAGATATAAATTTTGAATAGAATCGGATCATAATTACAAAACTCGTCCGCCATCTTGAATTCCATAATTTTGACGAAGGAATCATAATCTCCGACACCGAAAACCCTCAGATACAAATTTCGAATAGAAACGGATTATAATTACAAAACTCGTCCGCCATATTGTATCCGCCATCTTGAATTTCATAATTTTGACGAAGGAATCATAATCTCCGACCCCGAAAACCTTCAGATATAAATATATAAACGGTGATTTGACCATGAATCCAAAATTTTTGTCCACTTAAAAAGTACTGAAAGCACCTGAGGAAGATTTCACTTTTTTTTATTGTGTGATTTTTCTCACCTTCTTGTAGGCCATTTCGAATAATTTCAATGAAGACTGTTGCAGGGTTTGGGTGGCCTTGCGTACTTCCTCCGGATCTGCTTCGTCTTTTTTGGCCAACAGTTCTTTGACCTTGGCGATTTCCTCTTTCAATTTATCGCACTCTTCGTTCGGCAACTGGCTCTTGTACTCCTCCATTTTGGTTTCTGTGTCGTGCACGATTCCTAACACAAACGAAACGGACTTGAGGAAAAATAGACGATTTTTATTATGAAATGTCAATCATAGTCGGCGAGATTATGAAAAAAAAAAATCTCGTGATCAAATGGATATTGTGTCTTCTGTATAACAAATAAAAAACTGATTCAACACATTTCAACAATTTCAAATGACATTGACAAGGACCAGACACACTAAGATTCCATAATCTATAGAATGAAATGTCAATCATAGTTGCCCACATTATGGAAAGGAGTTTTGGGACCAACTAGTTCTTGTGGATCTCCGATCTCTCTCTTTGTATTGCATGAAATAAATATATAAATTACATACTTTCATAAAATTTATTGCAATAAATAACTAAAATAGAAAAATCACCGTGTGAAAATGATTTGAAACAGGTCAGTTTCGATTCCATCATGTACAGAATGAAATGTCATCATATACGCCGACTTCATGAAAACATTCTCATCAAAAAATATAATTTGGAGGAAGACTTTCGATCAATTGGCTCTTCAATCCATCATCTAATTTTTTGCACCAAATCAAATAGGAAAAACTGATAAAGTACGCATTTTCATCATTCCTGATTCCAACCAGGCGGTCTACTAATCATATTTGCCAAAGTTATGGAAAATAATCTCGCAAAACAAGATGTTTTGTTGATAATTTGAAATGATCAGTTAGTATAATATGAAATGATCAATTAGTATAATATGAATTGATCAGTTAGTATAATATGAATTGATCAGTTAGTATAATATGAAATGAACATGACCAACTCCAACTCACCTTCTGCCTGGTTGACGGCCTCCACCCTATCTTTCTTGACCTTGTCTTCTTGTGCATATTGCTCCGCCTTTTTCACCATATTCTCGATCTCGTCTTTGCTGAGACCTCCCGAAGACTGGATAACGATCTGTTGTTCTTTACCAGTGCCCTGAAAAAAAAATCAATCAATCAAAGATAATCACCATAGTTCGATAAATGGGGAACAAGTTACGAAATATTTTACCTTATTCAACTGGTTATCTAATGTAAGACACGAATTACATGTCAAACAAAAAAATATGATATTGCACAGATGGGCGGAGCTCAGGGAACAATCTGGATTGGCATTAGGCAGGGCCGAATAAGATAATTCCACAGGTGGGTGGAGCAAGACATAAATAACAGCGCACAAGTGGGCGTAGCTTTGTAAAGGGTGTGGCAGGACTAAATACGATATTCCACAGGTGGGTGGAGCGAAATATAACATCGCACAAATGGCTGGAGCTCAGGAAAGGGTATTTTTCTTCAAATGACATTGAAAGTTGCGTTTCCATGACACTTGACAGGCAGCAAAGGTGTACTTCTCTGCCGAAGCAGCAAAAGCTTGTCATGACGCTCGGCTGTCAATCTACTTTGCTGCCATGTGAAACATATTTTTTTCTTCAAATTTTGTGTGATTTTTTTATTGAAAACTCCATCATTTCGTGTTCACCCAAATGTTTTACTTTGCAGTTTGGAGAAAAATTACTATTATTGGCAGGGCGAAACAAAATAATGCAGGTAGGCGGGACAAGATATGATATGACAATGATGGAAGTAAGATTTGGTACGCGTATTCTGCCATTATTACGTATTGAAAATTTCAGAAAAATCACTCGACCGCCTACTATGATTTCTCTACGTCACAACGAGCGAGACGTTGATTCTACATTTTCCCGGTAGATGGTGATGCTGCTATTGCTGCTGTGACGAGTGGAAAAGAAATGGCAAATGGCATTTTAGGTACTCGGAACATATATGTAACAGTGGGATTATTCAACTCTGAATTCGAAAATTCTGCGACAATTCCAAAACTGACAGATGTCATAATTGTGCAATGTCGCCATCTATTAGAAGATCGACGGAACCATTGATCTCGCTGTTCTCGAGAGGTTGAGTAAAATTTCTGAAACAAAAGCGCATCAGTAATTACACCATATCTTACTTCCATCATTGATATGACGAAAGTGGGCGGGACTTTGGTGGAGGGTCTCCGACAGATGGTGGGTGTGGCTCAACAATGGGCCGGTCAAACTATAATAAACAGGTGGGTGGAGCCAGACATCACATTGCACAAGTGGGCGGAGCTGTGAGAACAATCTGGATTGGCAATAGGCTGGACGAAGTACTATTTTCCACATCCTTATTAGAAGAAATATTCAAAATTGAAAATATGATGATTACGCACACTATCATAAATAAAAGATCGAAATCCAATTTTATTTCAACACACATTTTCAATAAATAAATATATTGATGAATAAATAAAGACATAACATTGCACAAGTGTGTGGAGTTTAGGAGAGGATCTGGATAGACAGTAGGCAGGGCAAAATACGATATCCCACTGGTGGGTGGAGCCCAGTAGAGAGTGGGCGGGCCTTTGGAGAAGGTGGACGTGGCTTACCTTATTTTACAGGTTGGTGGGGCAAAACAATAAAATATCGAGCAAGTGGGCGGGACATAAAGGGACGGGTCTCGGATCGACAGTGGGCGTGTCTCACCTTGTTCCACAGGTGGGTGGAGCAACATAATAAGATATCGCGCAAGTGGGCGGGACTTTGAGGGAGGATCTGGGCGTGACTTACCTTGTCTCTGGCGCTGACGTGGACAATCCCATTCGCATCTATGTCGAAGGTGACCTCGACTTGGGGCACGCCCCTAGGGGCGGGCGGAATGCCCACCAAGGAGAATTGGCCCAGGAGTTTGTTGTCGCCGGCCATTTCACGCTCGCCCTGGTGCACCTTGATTTCGACTTGCGTTTGTCCGTCTGCGGCAGTCGAAAATACTTGGCTTTTCTTGGTCGGGATGGTGGTGTTCCTGGAAAGCGATGGAAAATCGTAAATTCACGAAATAGACTGCAAAAAAAAGTCGACCCTAGAGTAACTATTTAGTTAAAAGGAATGATTTATGTTGGTTATTTTTTCTGTGGAAAAGACATCACATTCTAAGGACCTCTGTGGAACCGCAGTCATCTTGTTCAACTCGGCATAAATAGCTTATGACAAAAAATATAACAACCTTCATAACAGAATAACCCAACATAATTGTTAAAAATTTCACTACAAATAATCATAAATCTATTAGTTGATCTCGATAGAAAATAACACAATTTGAACACTTCTGAGCGGTTTGTTCTGAAGGATTGACCAATAATCACAAACGAAAATCCAATGTGAACCAATGAAAACAAATCAAACAGACCACTTTGACAGCTTTCAAAAACTCCGATAAGTGGGTAACGCTTATTTTCTACCTCGAATTGTTGAGTGAATAACAAAATAAAATATAGGAATTATTTAAAGATGAACGTGACGGAATTATTGAAGCATTTTTTTATCGCTTGGAGCGCACGAAAGGAAATCCCTATAATGTTCGAAGAACATCGTGCGTTCCTAGGAAGGATAGGGACAGGAGGTAGGTATTGGAATTTTTTTTTCAACTTCTGGAGATTATATTATATGTTGTTGGGAATACTTCCACAGGCAATGAATTCCAGAGCCTAGCCGTTCTATGGATGAAGGAGTTTTGATAAAGTGCTGTTCGACATCTTTCGAGGTTGACGATGAAAGGATGTGCTGACTGGGCTTGTCTAGTTCGTATGACTGGTATAGCTAGTGAAGGAATGATAGCAGAGATTTCCGAAGAACATTTCCCGTGGAAGTATCGATAGAAAAGTGAAAGGTCGCCGACCTTTCTACGGTGTTCCAATGATGTCAAAGAGCGAGTGAGTGTGGCGTCACCCACCAGGCGAATGGCTCTTCTCTGGATGGAATCTAAGAGCATCAGCGTATGTTTTGGTGCTGAACCCCATATGTGGGAACAGTATTCTAGAACAGGCCGTATCTGCGCTTTGTAGATCATGAGGAGCTGTTGAGGTGTAAAGTAGTGTAAATACAAAAGTGACGAGTAGAACTAACCTGTTGATCAACCTGGTGAAAACGCCGCCGAGCGTTTCGATACCGAGGGACAACGGCGTGACATCCAACAAAAGAACGTCGGTGACGTCACCGGCCAAAACGCCCCCTTGGACGGCCGCCCCCACAGCTACGGCCTCATCGGGATTCACCGCCTTGCTCGGCTGCTTGCCGAATATCTCCTGGACGGTCGACTGGACTTTGGGCATGCGCGTCATGCCTCCGACTAGAAGGATTTCACCCACGTCGGATTTGGACACTTCGCCGTCTTTCAATGCCTTTGGATTTTGGAAAACATTCAAATTAGGAAAAATTAAGAAAAAACATTGAAATAGCATACAGGGTGTCCCAAAATTAGCTTGCCAAACTTCACCAGCGGCTTTTACTACCAAAAATAGAAAGAAAACTTTCAAAGAACATGAGTCGAAAAATGTCTCTTATGGGAGCTACGGCCCCCTGAAAGGGGACTCCTGAAGATGGTATTTCTTGAGTATTTTCGAAACCCTTAGTGAAATGATGCAATTTGGTACAAAAACTAAACTTTCCATGCCCAATGCGATGAACATGAAATCATTTCAAAGTTTCATTCTGGACTCTTATTGATAGATAGAACGCTTCGTTATCGAGAAAAAAAGAAAAAACGAGACCAGACTTCAAAATTTTTATGTCTGAGTACTCCATTCAGGTCATGCCTTACTGGATAACCACAGTATGTAACATTTTTAAATTTGTATACCGATTCAGTCACATAGCAGACTGAATTTTGCCATAACGAAAATCTATACAGGGTGGACACTGGACAAAGAGATAATCTATGCATATTTTCAACAATGACACTTTGTATGTTTTGTTGTTCTTAATGACCTAGTACATCCTATTTACTTCCTACAAGCTGAAGTTCAACTTTAGCTCCTAGGAACTAGAAGAACAAGAACCGGGAATTCCCCGAATCGTTAGCTATCTACAACCACTAAAAGGCACTGTTGTCATGTATTAATTTATATGTAAAATATCAAGGATTTTTTGGTATTTATTTCCTTAAAAAGAATCAAATGATATATATTGGCAAACCCTGAAAAAAAACATCAACAGCTTCAATGCACACAGCAAAAGAATCGTTTAAAAAAATTTACCATGTTTTTCAACATAGAAGTTGATTGTTCTCGGAAACGTTAAACTTTCAGAGCTTATGACCAGGAGTACTTTTTTGTGTAGAGAACAACGATGATCAACACACTAAAAGAGAATAAACACTTCAAAATTTTGGGAATTAACTCATTCAAATTCAGGATTGCGAGGACTTAAACCATGATTCAAATCCACTGATTTTTTCAATTTGAATCAAATATTATAAATTGGTGTAAAAACAAGTCACCAAAGAAAATAACTCATCAGGAAATTAAAGAAAGGAAGACAGTTTATTTAAAACTAAGTGTTTTCATAGCCGCAGCAGGCTGCCGAAAATTTTCATTTCAACACTAGTTTTTTTAGTATGTCCTGTAATAAATTTCTTAACTATGAATCTAGACAACAAATATAGGCGTTTAGAGAGAACAAACGATTTTAAAGTTGATTTTTCCATAATGAAAAAATTAGAAAAGTGATATAAATCCAGAAAATCATAATTTAATGAAAAACACAATTTTTCACTTTGTCAAATTGTCATTTTTTGTAACCCTATTCTGAATAATTGTGAACAAACTGCAAAATTGATAATAAACTCATTCAATTGGAGAACCAACAAATTCATATCCAGGATAAGCCCAAGTAGATGAGAATAAACATATAAAATTGAGAATGAACATATTTGAATTAAGAATTCACAATTCAAAATTGAGAATAAACTCTATGAAATTGAGAATGTACCCTTTCAAATTGAGAATAAACCCTTTTAAATAAAAAAAAAAAACATCCCAAATTGAAATTAATTACTGAGAAATCCAGTATATTCTTCAACAAATTCTCACCTTTTGACATGGAGCAATAGTTCTTTTGATGAGATCTCCCACCAAACCTTCGAACTTTGAGCGGGACAGCTTCAAGTTCATGTGTTTCGGCCCTGAGGCGTCCATCGTCAGGTAAGGCAAATTGATGTCGGTCTGTAGAGACGATGATAATTCGATTTTCGCTTTTTCTGCGGCCTCCTTGAGCCGTTGCATTGCCATTGGGTCTTTTGTGATGTCAATTCCTAAGAGAAAAACCCGAAAAAAAAAATTGGGAATGATCCAATGATCCAAAATTTTTTATTATTTTGGGAAAGGAAAAACAAAGAAAAAATCCGATAACGAAAATAATAAATATTTATAATAGTCTACCCAACAGAATAAAATCTATTTGGTTCATCACAAAATTCATGTGTGAACTGAAGAAATATATTTTATCAATTTAACTCTTCTTGTATCAATTAATTCTGATTGAACTGTTCATCTTTCATTGTATTGCATACTAGCAGACCTCGCAAACGTTGTTTTGGATCTACCATCTTGAATTCCCTAATTTTGACAAAGGAATCATAATTTTTGATCTCGAAAACGCCCACTTACAAATTTTGAACAGAATCCGTAAATAATTACAAAACTCGTCCGGTATATTGATTACACCGTCTTGAATTTTCAAATCCCGGCCTTTCCAAATTTTGACAAAAGAGTCATGATTTCCGACCCCGAAAACACCCAGATAACAATTTTGGAGAGAGTCGGATCATAATTACAATACTCGTCCGCCATATTTCGTCCGCCATATTGGGTCCGCCTTCTTGAATTGCCTAATTTTGACGAAAGAATCATAATCTCCGACCTTGAGAACCACTAGATACAGAATTTGAATAAAATCGTATCCTAAGTACAACATCCGCCATTCTGGAACCGCCATCTTGAATTTCTTAATTCTGACGAAGGATTCATGATCCCTGATCACGAAAATTCCTAGGTATCAATTTTGAAAAGAATCGGATTATGATTACAAAACTCGTCCGCCATATTAATTCCGCCATTTTGAATTTCCAAATTACGCCCAAATTTTCAAATTCTAACAAAACAATCATAATCTCCGACCTTGAGAACCATCAGATACCAAAATTTAAATAAAATCGGATCCTAATTACAAAATCTGTCGTTTTGGATCCACCATCTTGAATTTCGTAATTTTGACAAAGGCATCATAATCCCCGATCACGAAAACCCCTAGGTACCAATTTTGAAAAGAATGGGATTAAAACTACAAAACTCGTCCGCCATTTTGGTTCCGCCATCTTGAATTTCCAAATTCTGCCCGAATTTTCAAATTCTAACGAAAGAATCATAATTCTAGAGAACCACCAGATACAAAATTTGAATAAAACTGGATACTAATTACAAAATCCGCCGTTTTGGATCCGCCATCTTGAACTTCTTAATTTTGACGAAGGAATCATAATCCCCGATCACGAAAACCCCTAGGTACCAATTTTGAAAAGAATCGGATTATAATCACAAAACTCGTCCGCCATGTTGGTTCCGCCATCTTGAATTTCCAAATTCCGCCCGAATTTTCAAATTCTGACGAAAGAACCATAAACTCCGACCTAGAGAACCACCAGATACAAAATTTGAATAAAACCGGATACTAAATACAAAATCCGCCGTTTTGGATCCGCCATCTTGAATTTCTTAATTTTGACGAAGGAATCATAATCCCCGATCACGAAAACCCCTAGGTACCAATTTTGAAAAGAATCGGATTATAATTACAAAACTCGTCCGCCATATTGGTTCCGCCATCTTGAATTTCCAAATTCCGCCAGAAATTTCAAATTCTAACGAAAGAATCATAATCTCCGGCCCCGAAAACCTCCAGATACCAATTTTGAATAGAATCGGACCATAATTACAAAACTCGTCCAATATATTAGATACGCCATCTTGAATTTCCTAATGGTACCGGGATAAAAAGTATCCTATAACCTTCTTCTGGTTTCAAGCTACCTCCCCACCAATTTTCAGTCAAATCATCCATTAGTTTTGGAGCCTATTCAATACAAACAAACAAACAATCAAATATCTTTCCTATTTAAATAATTTTAGTAGATATTTGATTTATTTATTAAGATTTTTTTGTTTCCCCTCAATAAACATTGTATGTTTCTTAGGATTCATGAATGTTATTATTATTATTATAAAATTCTCAAAGCTAAATAATTTTTTAACAGAGAGAGTGAACTCAAGTATTTGGTGGTGATATGATGATCAAGGAGTAAAGATAAATAAATAAATAAACATAGCCATTTTTATTGACATCATCCCTTAGCAGTGATCTTACCTTGTTCTTTTTTAAATTCAGTGACAAGGTGGTTAACCAGGACATTGTCAAAATCTTCACCACCCAGGAAAGTATCTCCATTTGTTGATTTCACTTCAAATACACCTTTTTGAATTTCCAGAATAGAAATGTCAAATGTACCTCCACCCAAATCATAAACAGCAATACTGAATAAAAAATAAATAATATTCAGTTATAAAATATTGGAAAGTTCACAGTTTCATAATCAAACATAGGAAATATTCTTTATTTACATCTTTATAATTCAAAAAGTTGATTTCAAAAAATTCTGAAAATTATTGTACACATCCAAACTTTTTTTACTTACACTTTGTCTTCTGTTTTGTCCATTCCATAAGCCAAAGCAGCTGCAGTAGGTTCATTGATCACTCTGAGTACATTTAAACCAGAAATTTGACCAGCATCTTTGGTTGCTTGTCTCTGGGAATCATTGAAATATGCTGGCACAGTGACAACTGCATTTTTCACTTTTGTATTCAAATAAGCTTCTGCAGTTTCCTTCATTTTCACCAAAACAAAAGCCCCTATCTGGCTAGGAGAATACATTTTCCCATCAGCACCTTGTACCCAAGCATCCCCATTTGATGCCCTTACAATTTTATAAGACAATGTTTTCCTGACAAAAAAAAATTGAAGAATAACAGTTCCAAGTCACCCCCATCAAAGCTTACATGTCTTTTTTGACTTCATCATCTTCAAACCTTCTACCAATCAGACGTTTGGTGGCATAAAAAGTGTTGGCAGAGTTAGTGACTGCTTGCCTTTTGGCAGGCATTCCCACCAAACGTTCTCCATCTTTACTGAAAGCAACAACTGAGGGTGTTGTTCTAGAACCTTCTGAATTTTCAATAACTTTGGCTTGTTTGCCCTCCATAACTGCAACACATGAATTTGTCGTGCCCAAATCGATGCCGATAACGGCACCTTTGACACCCTCTGATCTACAAGATAAAAAAGTGAAACTAAATACAGTTTGCTCAATGTTTGTTGTAAGTATCTTACTTGTTTCGTTTGAAGCTGTCATATTTGGGGCTCAGAGAATAGGAAGGTACCCACTAGAAGCAAGATATAAATCATAAGGAATAGAGATTATGTCCTTATCAAAATTATTGTGCAATACCTAACCTTCAAAATCCTAGACCAAATTCGATTCAATTTTCAGAGAAATGTAGCAGTTAATTACAGGAAAACTATAATGCACCCCGGCAGCTAGCACTAATGATTCGGAAGTTATATAATTAGATTTGAATGAGAAATTTCAAGTAGAAATGTTGAGATTGATGGACTTTCAACTTACCTGATTCGTTAAACGTCCAAAATTTCGGGAACCCACTTTCTCAAACCTCACTTTGGAGCAGTCGAGGACATTTCTACTAATAGCGCGTGCAGCGGACAACATTTTTTTACAATTTTATAGTTTTCGTGTTTTTGAAGATTCTTTCTAGAACTTCACGTGCGACTTGAGCTGCGACGTAAAATGTAAAATGGCCGGACCGCGACCGGGTGCCGATTGTCAGCTGTCAAAGCGTCATTTCCAGAAATATTCTTCTACTTTTAAAAGTCATAACTGTCAAAAAATTACTTCACATCACCACTTGGCCAGATAATCCTTGTAACTGAGGCCATCTAAAGCGAAAAGAGGAAGAAGACTTACTATAACCTATAAATTAATCACCTATAAATATAAAAAAAATCAAAACAATAATAATACTCGAAAATGAGTATACCTTTGTTTCCAAATTTGAAGCCAAGATTGATTCATTCATCTTGGTTTGATGTAGATCAGCCTTGTGATGATGAAGATGAAGTGTCTCAGCTTGAAAGAGAACACCAAAGCTGGGTATGGATAGTATACTTTATCAATTTTCCCTTCATCAAATCAACACATTTGATTATTTCAGTTGCAGCAAATAAAGCAGAGAAATTCTGATTTGACTCCTATCGGCAAAACAGCTTCTGAGGTGAATATTCAAATAAACAAGGGTATTATGTGAAATTAACAAAATATTTTGTCTAGAATATGGAAGAGGATGAGGAAGAAGATGATGAAGACGACAATGATGATGACGATGAATCTGAAACACATGATGAAGAGGAAGAAGATGAAATTGAGATGGATGTGTCACAAGAAAGAAGTTCTCCTGTTGATGTTAGTATCAGACTTGTTCAGGGCCATGGTGTTAGATAATTACCTCTCCTGAGGATAATCATTATATAATATTTTGTCTAGTTGTATTCCAAAGGTGGAATTTTTGGAAATACTTATATTACAAAAGAAACATCATTATGAATACTAAGTGAAACTAAATTTACTAGTGTAGGTCATTTCAACTGAATGTGATGTGGCAGAAGTGAAATATTTAATAAATATACTCCTGGAACTTGTGAAAGTTTCTCCCAAATATTCTGAAATTTTGATTTTTCATTGCATTTACTAATCCAAATGTTTGCATTGCCAAATTACCAATATGGGTTGCAAGATCTGTCAGATGACCGACCCTGGAGGTCAAACAACACAAAATAACCTCACTTTTCGTATTTCTCTTCAAGGGATTACAAATAGTTTTTCCAAGTTTTTCACTATTATTTGTGATTCTTGAGATATTTATTCATCAAAGCATTCCATTACATTGTGCTGTTGTACAATTAATGCACAAAAAATGCAATGAGAGACGAAGGAATGAAGATTTTTCAGGTAAATCTTCATTTTTTCAGATCAAAATGTTGTCATATCTTTTTATAATTTCCTTCTGCAAGCTAATAGAGTGGAAATGTCTTCATCATACACGAACATAGTCATTCTGTCATTTCTATTTAGAATTACATTTTTCATCAGTATTTTAGACCAGTTTTCCCATTTGATTGCACGAATCCAATAACCTTTTTGCTTTCTTTTAGAACGTTTACAAGTTGTTTTCTTAACTCCTATCACAGAATACTCAACAATCTCCTATTGCAGTAGGAATTCTACTAGGTACAGTGCTTATAGTTCAGAATTTACCTGTAAAATCTTCATTCCTTCGTCTCTCGCTGCATTTTTCGTGCATTGTACAACAGTACACTGTGGCATGGCATGCTTGAATGAATAAATATGCCAAGAAACACGATTCTATGCCAAAATAATTGTGAAAAACTTTCAACAATTAAAAAAAGTGAGGTTAGTGGGATTGTTTTGCCTCCAGGGTCTGTCATCTGACATTTTGTGCACGCGATCTATTGTGATAAATTTGTCAAGTCAGATTTTTTTTGGTGTATGTTTTTGGGTTTGGAACAAGTTTCACATTGAAATTGATAGTTACTTACTTGATCAATATTTGATTTGCCTTCAGTTTATTGGTTTTTCGCAATATTTTATGCCATTATAGCCATTATTTCAAACTCCTGACAATGATCTCCTGACATTCTTTAGCAGGAAACAAACGTCTTTATTCGTTTCCAATAATAATAAAAATCAAACTAGAGATACTAAAAATCAAAATTTTATTCATCGTCAAGCTATCGTCAATACAAAATTCTTTTGGGCGTCAGCACTAGGCTTAAGCTGGTGTCCCTTTTTATCACAAACAATCCTATCATCCACAGTAACTTGACTAGCCATCAGCATATTCATCATTCCCTGTAAACCAGCTAAACTATCGGCCAACTCGGATTCCTGCTTGATAACTTGCCCTAAATCCACAAACAACTTGCCTACCTCCACCGGCAACATCGCAATATTGTCCTCGTAAGTATCCAGCAAAATATTCGCCGCGTCAATTATCACCCTAGTGAAGCGATAATCCGTGATGTTTCTGATGAAAAACCTGAGGATGAGCGTGAGGGATTTTTTGTCTCGACCTTGGAAAGCTTTTTGCAGAGCTTTCCTGCGCATGAGCTCTTGCATCAGGGAGACCGTGATTTGGGGGTTTTTATTAGCGACGTAGGGCAAAAGGACGCTATCTAGGGCTTTAGAAAACTCGAATTTCCTCAAGTGGTGATCGTATTTGGCTTCTTTTTCGTGTTTTAGCTCGCTTACAATAGTGTCTACACTAGCTGGATGAGCATTAGACACATAGTGATAAGAAGCCATTTTCTTCTGTCGTTCTTCTTCTTTTTTTTCTTCTCTTCTGCTTACGGAAACTAGTCCATCGACTAGTCCTGCTACCAGAGTATCATCGTTTTTGGAAACTCCCAAACTGAGAACGGAGTTCGGGAAGTTTAGAGTGTGCACTGGTTTGAATGTGGCTAAATCGTAGATTTTAACGTGCCTATCCAGGCTGCCCGAGAGGAGCCTTTTGTTGTCAGACGCCAAGTGTAGGCAGGTGATTGTTTTGTGGTGCTGGGAAAGGCTTCCTAATAATTTACCTACAAAAGGCAAACTCATAATCCCTATTTCATTCATATATTTTTTCAGAGAACACATAAAACATGCTTGATCTAGATTTGAACTATCAGCTCCTAGAATGGGGAAGTTTGCTATATTGAGGTTCTAATCTCACCGTGAAGTTTGTGAAAAAAAATATACATTTTTCTTTTCTTCCTAAGATCAATATCCACTTCAGAAAAACTAAATAGAAGAGGAACTTGGCTCCTCCACCATTCCTATGACGTACTTTCTGAAAATCCACATTCACACAGAGTTAAAATACGATTCCTTGTGCCAGTACGACGTTGCCGACATCATCAATATGTCTAGATTTCCGGAAATTGTTCTTTGAATGCATAATAACTATATCATAATCCTACTTTGTCAAGTATTATGAATAATTCCCATAAATCTCTCATTGGCTGAATGAAGTTGATTACCAATAAAGAAAAATTATGATATTTTGCGACAGTATCTATAATTTTTCACTATCGTTATATTACAATGTTATTTATAACTTGTCAGTCATTTTTTGCTAATGAATTCGTTCCTCAATAAAACGGATCTATTTTCTTCAAAAGTTGCAGATTATATCTTGCAACAGCGCCTAATACTGAGTCCATCCACACCACTCAAAATACTGACAGGCACAACAAGAGGAAGGAGCCATGGGTGTCGGCTTCATTCTGTTCTGACCGATGACAATAAATTAGGAAGGATAGTATCATTGAATGTAGCCGATAGTGATTTATTGATTCAATGATATTTTCGCTATTTGAGATATTTCAATGCATAAATAACAAAACCATAACCTGTCGGAATGGAGCCAACTACCCTCTGCATTCCTGCTCCGAGTGTATTTGTGTTTATGTATGTTTTTGTTTACCAGCTTTACTTCTTCTTCTTCTATTTTTTTCATTCGTTAGCTATTCACTAGCTATATTCTTCACAATTCAGAATGTATGTCACAATTTGCCGCCCCGAAAATTAGAAATTGGACTTGGACTTTATCGGTCGCCATTCTGTACAGAGTGGACATAAAACTAGAGAGTTCTGAACTTATTTTATGAAAATTCATGGGAAGGAATCTTCCCCATTTGTCTCAAATGCTCCTAAATATTCTGATGTAACCTTTTAGTGGGGTGATATATTTTTTTAATTAAATCATGAATTGATATGCACATTTTCATGGCTCAATAATTTTTCTTCCAAATACCCAAAAATCAATCAGCAGAAAGTGAAAGAACATATCCAAAAGAATTCATCATGATTACTCACCTCCAGCCAATACATCCCAAATTTTGATATCAGTACCACCTGCAGACAACAAAATACCCCCAGAAGGCAGGAATAATGTTGACTCAATAGCACTACTATGATCCATTGTCAGTACCTCACTTTCAGTCCTAGTATCATACATTTTCAATTTACCATCATATCCCCCTGATACCAATATATTTGGCATTGCAAGACATGTAGCTCCAGCCCTGACATAATCAGTATGCCCCTCATATGTTATCAGGTTCTTCTCTGTTGGGATGTCCCATATTTTCACTGTTTTGTCATCAGAAAATGAGGAAATATGAGGCTGACTATGAAGGAAATATGTTCTATGTACAGGAGCTGAATGGCCTTTGAACAACCTTGAATTAAAGCAATCACTTCACATATTTGTCCACCCCTTGTTAGTTTGTTACCTTAATAAGCTTTTAGTGGAAACGTCGAATAATTTAACATTAGTTTCCTCGCCACCAGCGCAAATTAGTCTGCCATCTGATCTAAATACTGCCCCATAAGCATTTTCACGAAACCTGGATAGATTCTTGATGACCAATTTAGTCACAGGATTATAGACTTGGACACGTACTGAACAAGTTACTGCGAAGTGATAGGGCTCTATTGGAGAGAAATCAATGTAATCAATCGGACCAAACTCTTTCACTAACACTGGGGGCTGAAACAATTCAGAAATGATGCGATGGTTTCGGATATATGGGTGGATTAACATTACTTACAGCGAGCTTTTTCCAGTAAACATAGTCTGGTGTTATAACAGGACCACTTTTTTGGTAGATCTTTGTGTTTAGTTTTTTGAAATTCGGCATGTTTTGAAGATTTAAAAACAATCACATAACCACAAAATTGAAGAGGCGAAGGCGAAGACGAAGAGAAAAAAAGCTGTGTGAAAATGGCAGCCAAAGATAGCAGCCAAAATCTCCGAACATTGCCGAAGACCCAGTGGCCAACAAAATTTTTTTTTCCATGCCTCCAAATACAAAACAATATTTTGAGTGAATTCTAGCTGCGATGACATAGGGTAGGATTGGTAGGAATCATTCAAACAGACCTAAGGAACGATTTGCCTATCGAAAAAATCCCCGCAACCCCTACCGAAAAAAAAATATCATATTCAACAAAAATGTGTTTAGTGTGTGAATGAAAAACTGCTGCGATGCTCTCAATTACTTCATTGGGTATGTTAATTTTGTCCAGCAGTTCTTTATAACTATATAATACCCTCAAAATTCACTCAAAATATTGTTTTGTATTTGAAGGCATGGAAAAAACATTTTGTCCGCCACTGGGTCTTCGGCAATGTTCGGAGATTTTGGCTGCGATTTCACACAGCTGAGAAAAAAGAAGAAGAACTTTCACAACAGAACAAGAAAAATTGGAAAGTTGCATTGTGTGTGTTTTTGGTTCTGTGATAATTTATTAGTTCTGTGGTTCTGTGTCAAAACCTAACCTACCTTTTTATTTTAATATTTTTAAAATTTTATTATTATTTGGGTTTAAAAATGATGTGGAAACCTTTTAGGAGTAATGATGGAAATAATTTCATGGTAAAATGGAACAAAAACGATCAAGAATTCACATTTTTTGTTACAAACTTGAAACAAATTTGGACATCAGTCTGTTCCATTGAAAGTATTGTGGTAAAATATCAAGTGAGTTAAATATTCATTAGACTGAATTGACTGAAACTGCTCCTTTTAGAAAGTATAATCATTCATTTTTCAGCAATTAAATCCCCTTTTCGATTTGAAATTAGAAGAAGCTGTGACACAAGTATTGAACATTTTTGAAGATATAAATCAGGCAGAGGTCAAAGTAACAATTGATGGTTCAACACTGATTCTGAAAATTGAGATGAACTTAACAGGTTCTGAAGCCTCTAATATCAAGACCAATTTTGAAATTGAATTTGTGAAGGCTGAAACTGAAAAGGTGTAGAAATAGGGGTAAATTATCTAGAATAAGTGTGTCTTTCTGGATTCTTGTGAGCCTTCATTGTTTATTTAATTATTTATTTAACATTCATATTTTTATCCTGAGCCCCTGAGCTAAGTAACAGAGTTTGCATTTCTTCTAGTTCACTGAAATGATAACCATTGCTATGATACAGACCATCAATTTTCTAGAAACTCAACAGAAAATGCTGTGCAATTTGTTGGAGAAGAAAGATAGGGAGATAGAGGAATATCAGATGGAAAAAGGACTCATATCTAGAAGTAGGTAAATAAATATTTATCTCTGATATACTTAATTATATTCTCTATTTTTATTTGGTTTCTAACTGAAGAACAAATAATTTCTCTGGTTTCAAAAGAATAGAGTATGAATGATTTGAATCACAAATGATTTGAAATAGCTGTTGAATAATTCACATTATTTTCAGGTGATCTTGTCACTGGAAAATTTGATCCCCATTCTTTAATTTCATCCAGTCAGAAACTGATTTTAAATGTTTTTGGGAATTCCAAAAGTTTTATGGATAGCATTGATAATGAATATGGGGAGGCCCAAGAAAATGTTTTCCAGTGAGTAGAAATTAATTCTTTCTTCATTAGCAAGCATAATGATATAAATCCAATAAAATAATAACTTAATGTATTTTTCAGAGTTGAGGTTGAATCTTGGAATAATGTGAAGAAGAAGAGGAAATATTATGATTCAAAAACAGCTTTGAATAGCAAATGCACCAAAATTGTTTACAAGAACAACAATTCATAGCTCCATTTTGTTATTTGATCATTATTTTTTTAGTATTCTATATATTTTATTCTATTTTATTCTTGTATCTGAAAAAAATAAAAGTACATATGTATGTATCTAAAAATTGATATTTTTTCTTTCATTCCTTAAAATTCTGCATACTTACTTGATACTGGATTATGAGTGAAAGTGATAAAAGTAAATAATCTTTCTTTGCATATTAATGATAGAATTGATAAATTATAAACCCAAGAAGTACATTCTTTCCACAAAGAAAACAAGTTTATTATTCATCTCTGCACAAATATTCGTCTTTCAGTAGTTATTCAAAACTGATGGGTAAGTGACCCAGACAGCACTGGATATTCCTAGAATATTCTCTAAATATGCTAAAAGGGAAGAATATATTCCGAATATTCTTCGAATATTCTTATAATATATACGTGCCTCTGGAACATTCAAGGAATATTCAAATGTGAATATTCTAGTAATATACCAAAATGAATATACAGGAAATATTCAAGAAGGAATATTCTGAAGTGAATATTCCTAGAATATTCCAGTTGGATAGTGCAGGGAATATTCAGGTATGAATATTCCAGGAATATTCCCAATTGAATATTCTGTTCCTGTATATTCATGGAATATTTCAATAATATTCCCATGTGTTTCAATGAAATTATAAAGTATGAAAATTAACCAATCACAATTTTATAGATGTGAGTATTAAACATTGATTTTGAAATCTGTGGTAGAAGTCCATCGTATTTCAAAGTGAAGTGGTTATGTTACCAGGGATCAAAAACAAAAAGTCGTCTCCACAATTTGGATAGTGATCAAAGTATTCAATCAGATCATCGTACATGTTAAGAGCCCATATGGAACTGGAAGTGTACATGGTTCCCTTCGGAACAACGCAGTTCAATAAATTGTTATGTACATTATTATTCAACTCGATTACTGGCCAAGTGGTTAAGGCGTTGATCTGACAGTCTGAAAGTCCCGAGTTCGAGCCCATCTTGGGTCAGCTTTTTTTAATTATGAATATGTATTACGGAATATTTCCGGAATATTCATTTATTTATATTCCTGTATTATTCCAGGAATATTCCGAATATTATCTGAATATTCCTAGAATATTATAGGTACATCCTGAATATATAGGAAATATTCCTTGTGTAATATTCCGGGAATATACAAAATTTTCCCCACCAGCACATTCAGGGAATATTCCATAGTTGATATGTATATCCCTGGCATGTTCATGAATATTCGCAATATCCAAAAAGAATATTCTATGAATATTCATGGAATATCTGGTGCTGTCTGGGGATATACATCATACTGAAAGACACAGTCTGGATATCAGAAAATAACATGAAATAATAGTATATTTTATTCAACAAGCATATATAATAACTCTTTATATGCGAGTATATTACTATATTTCATCCACGACTGTTGTTCAAAATATTCAGCATAAGACAATCGAGATGTGTCCCGGCGTGGTCGCCAAAAATGCGAAAACTTTGAATCCTCCGCGCCTTAGAGTCGGTAATCAATTTTGGCCTACTAAAAATCCGAAAAAACTCTCATAGACTGATTCGATGTCGTTGAAAACGAATATGTGATAGAAATCTGGAAATTTTGAAAAATTGAGACGTAGTAGCCTAACAGAGTGCTCCTATTGGCAATAAAAGCGAAAAGTTGAACTTGAGCGCCGATATCTCGAAAACTATCTATTCTATCGGGCTGATCGTGGTTTCATTCGATTCAGAATATCATTTTCTACTGGAAAAGCGATAATTCTCGTGGATTTCTGCCGTTTTCTGGCACTTTCGGCCATCCGAAGATGACTCGGTGACAATATCGTACTGAAGTCTTAGGTGGGAAAATGAAAATTTTTATTTGGCCTATTAAAAATCTGAAAAAATTCACATAGACTGATTCAATGTCGAAATAAACGAATCCGTGGTGGAAATCGGGTAATTTTGAAAAATAGAGACGTAGTAGCCTACCGGAGTGCTTCTATTGGCAATAAAAGCGAAAAGTTGACTTTGAGCGTCGATATCTCAAAAACTATCTGTCCTATCGGGCTGATTATGGTCTCATTCGATTCAGCGTGTCATTTTCTACTGGAAAAGCAATAATTCGCGTGGATTTCTGCCGTTTTCTGGCACTTTCGGCCATCCGAAGATGACTCGGTGACAATATCGTACTGAAGTCTTAGGTGGGAAAATGAAAATTTTTATTTGGCCTATTAAAAATATGAAAAAATTCACATAGACTAATTTGATGTCGTAATGAACGAATATGTGGTGGAGATCGGGAAATTATGGGAAATGGAGACGAAGTAGCCTACTGGAGTGCTCCTATTGGCAATAAAAGCGGAAAGCTGACTCTGAGCGCCGATATCTCGAAAACTATCTGTTCTATCGGGCTGATCATGGTCTCATTCGATTCAGCGTGTCATTTCCTACTGGAAATGCGATGATTCGTCTGGATTTCCGCCGTTTTCTGGCACTTTCGGCCATCCGAAGATAGCTCGGTGACAATATCGTCGTAGGTGGGAAATTGAAAATTTCTATTTGGCCTATTAAAAATCCGGAAAAATTCACATAGACTGATTCGATGTCGTAAAAAACGAATCTGTGGTGAAAATCTAGAAATTTTGGAAAATGGAGACGTAATAGCCTACCGGAGTGCTCCTATTGGCAATAAAAGCGGAAAGCTGACTTTGAGCGCCGATATCTCGAAAACTATCTGTTCTATCGGGCTGATCATGGTCTCATTCGATTCAGCGTGTCATTTTCTACTGGAAAAGCGATAATTCGCGTAGATTTCCTCCGTTTTCTGGCACTTTCGGCCGTCCGAAGATGGCTCGGTGTTAATATCGTACTGAAGTCTTAGGTGGGAAAATGAAAATTTTTATTTGGCCTATTAAAAATCCGAAAAAATTCACATAGACTAATTCGATGTCGTGAAAAACGAATCTGTGGTGGAAATCTAGACATTTTGGAATATGGAGACGTAGTAGCCTACCAGAATGCTCCTATTAGCAATAAAAGCGGAAAGCTGACTTTGAGCGCCAATATTTCGAAAACTATCTGTCCTATCGGGCTGATCATGGTCTCATTCGATTCAGCGTGTCATTTTCTACTGGAAAAGCGATAATTCGCGTGGATTTTCGCCGTTTTCTGGCACTTTCGGCCGTCCGAAGATGGCTCGGTGACTATATCGTACTGATATGAAACAATGCCTATCGTTTCACGCTTGTTTTGGCTAAAACATAGGTATGAGCAGTGTACCTATTTCCATTTTTTATGTACCTATTTTTTGTATCGAAATTCAATTTGCATGGAAATTAATGTGGAAAACATAATTGCAACGCAATCGATCGCTGATTAGACACTGTCTGTAGATACCAAAAAACGCAAGAATCGAACAATGGTGTATATTCAATTAAGGCAAGTGAAACGACCTTTAAAGGTTCAATCACCAAACTTCCTACGAATCTGAACCAATCTGAAGAAACAATATACAATGTGTGCTTTTTTTCCATTTGAGTTATCGAAATTGGTGTCACCATTTTTCGACAAAAATTCATGATGAAAATTGACCAAGCTTTGGATAAATATACAAAAAATACAGGGTGATCCACGGTGGATGGCCTATAAGAAGTATCTGGAGAACGAAAAGACAGAACATTCTGAAAATTAGGATACTTTGATAAGTGAACATTTCCTATCCGTCTAAAATATTTTCATCGATACAGTGTTGCCACTTCTATCAAAAACAACTAGCAACTTCGTTTTTTCAAATGGAGCACCCTGTAGTTCATTGCATTTTTAGATTCTTCCTGAACAGCCGATTTCATCAATGTATCTCACTTGCGGTTTAGCAGGAATGATTACAGAGATATAGGGTGTTCAAAATCGAGATTTTTCAATTTTAGGATTTTTTAGGAAACTATTTATTATCGATCAAAACGGCTTACATATCCCTATCTCAACTTTCCATTCACTATATACTGACTAATTAGGACAGATACATGATGATTCTGAATCTTGAAGCACCCTTTATTTTTCTCAATTAAATTCCAGTAGATAGTGAATAAAAAGTTAAGATAGGGACATGTAAGCCGTTTTGATCGATAATGAATAGTTTCGACACAAAAAATCCTAAAATTGAAAGATCTCGATTTTGAACACCCTATATCTCTGTAATCATTCCTGCTTGACCCCAAGTGTGTTACATTGATATAAGTAGCTCTTCAGGAAGAATTCTAAAATGCAATAAAATACAGCTAGGGTGTTAGATTTGAAATAACAAAGTTGCTAGATGTTTCTGATAGAAGTGGCAACACTGTATCGATGAAAATATTTTAGATGGATAGAGAATGTTCAATTTCAGAATGTTCTGTCTTTTCGTTCTCCAGATACATCTAACAGGCCATCCACCGTGGATCACCCTGTATATATCCATATTTTATGTTCATAAATATATCTGAGAATAACCCTTTTCAATGTATAAAATCAGATTTGAATCTTTTGTATTGAATGGAAAACGAAAAAGATACAGAGGGGTTCATAAAACTATAGCCCTGTACAGGGTGATTCACCATAAATGTCCCCCCCTCTAGCTCACATATTTTTTAACCGATTTGAAATTTTTTTTCCCGTTGCATCAGAAAATTCAGGGTGCTCGGAACAAACGATCTACAGAGTAGGTACTACTTGTTTTTTTCAAACATAACACCCTGTATTTCATTGTATCTTTAGATTCTCCCTGAAGAGCTGATTTCATCAATGTATCACACTTGGGGTCTAGCGGGAATGATTACAGAGATATAGGGTGTTCAAAATCGAGATTTTTCTACTTTCGTATTATTTTGTGTCGAAACTATTCATTATTGGTCAAAACGACTTTAATGTTCCTATATCAACTTTTGATTTACTATCTACTGACATTTAATTGGAACATATACAGTGTGAAAGGAAAAAACACAAACCCAAAGTCGGTCGACCACAAAGTTTAATTACAAAAGTTTTGTGACTAGTTTCGGCTCAAGCAGCCATCTTCAGACACAATATATAGTACCTGTAAAGATATTGGTTTACAAGAATAAAATGACATATTGAGGAAAAAACATACCTATAAAAGGATACGTGGAATCACATAATTAAATTAATTGAAATATGAATAGCAGGGTCATTTGGCCAAAATTCAGTCCGGTGAAAAAATTGATATTTTTTTGAACCGACTGAACCGCCAAAAGAACCTAATAATAATTTCAACATTGGCAAAAATTGGGAAAACCAGCAATAAATTCACTCAAAGGAGTTTCATCTTAAAATGGCCGTTTTGTGAAAGACAAAAGCCAAGGAGAAGGCAACGAAATGTCAAGCATAGCATATACAGTGTGGTTCAAGATTCAGAATTCTGATCACCCTGTATCTATTCCAATTATTAAATGTCAGTAGATAGTACATCAAAAGTTAAGAATCGGACATGAAAGCCGTTTTGAAAATTGAAAAATCTCGATTTTGAACACCCTATATCTCTGTAATCATTTTCGCTAGAAGTAAGATACATTGATGAAATCAGCTCTTCAGGAGGAATCTAAAAATACAATGAAAAATAGGGTATTCCATTTAAAAAAATCAAATAGTACCCTGAAGATCGTTTGTTCCCAGCACCTTGTATTTTCGGATGTAGCGGAAAAAAACTCTATCGAAAATCATTTCAGATGATATTTAAAATGTTGCAATCGGATCAAAAATAACTGAGCTAGAGGGGGGAGGGGGAAATTTATGGTGAATCACCCTGTACCTACACCTCAAATTTTCACTTATGAAAATGGGTAGGCATGTGACATTTGGGTACAGATAAAAGTGACATGAATTCAATAATAACTCACATATGAAAGAAATGACAGATTGACACGATAAAGTGACACAAATGATCAAAGAAAAATGCTCTGCGTTGATAATCCATGATTTTCAAGCAAACTTCTTGATTCAAATGAATTCTTCACGTTCGACACAAATAAAATGTCCTCCATTGAACGTGTATACCTTGTATTTTCTGATGTAGCGGAAAAAACTTTATCGAAAATCATTTTAGATGATAATTAAAATTTTGCAATCGGTTCAAAAATAACTGAGCTAGAGGAGGGGACATTTATGCTGAATCACCCTGTACCTACATCCCAAATTTTTACTTATGAAAATGGGTAGGTATGTGACATTTGGGTACAGATAAAAGTGACATGAATACAATAATAACTCACATATGAGAAAAATGACAGATTGACACGATAAAGTGACACATGATCAAAGAAAAATGCTCTGCGTTGATAATCCATGATTTTCAAGCAATCTTCTTGATTCTAATGAATTCTTCGCACGTTCGACACGAATAAAATGTCCTCCATTGAACGTGTATACCTTGTATTTTTTGATGTAGCGGAAAAAAACTTTATCGAATATCATTTTAGATGATAATTAAAATTTTGCAATCGGTTCAAAAATAACTGAGCTAGAGGAGGGGACATTTATGCTGAATCACCCTGTACCTACACCTCAAATTTTTACTTATGAAAATGGGTAGGCATGTGACATTTGGGTACAGATAAAAGTGACATGAATTCAATAATAACTCTTATATGAAAAAAATGACAGATTGACACCATAAAGTGACACATGATCAAAGAAAAATGCTCTGCGTTGATAATCCATGATTTTCAAGCAATCTTCTTGATTCTATATAATGAATTCTTCACGTTCGACACGAATAAAATGTCCTCCATTGAACGTGTATACCTTGTATTTTTTGATGTAGCGGAAAAAAACTTTATCGAATATCATTTTAGATGATAATTAAAATTTTGCAATCCGTTCAAAAATAACTGAGCTAGAGGGGGGGGAGACATTTATGGTGAATCACCCTGTACCTACACCTCAAATTTTTACTTATGAAAATGGGTAGGCATGTGACATTTGAGTACAGATAAAAGTGACATGAATACAATAATAACTCACATATGAATATGCTTCGGCAGTATGGTCTCCATTTTACGAGCGTCATAAAAACGAATTGGAGAAGATCCAAAAGAAATTTTTGAGGTACCTATATTATAAAAAACACAAAGTGTATTATTTTGATATACCATATGAAACTTTATTGAATGAGTTTAAATTAATTAAATTAGAACATAGAAGAGAAATAGCATCGGTACTATTCTTGCATAAATTAGTTAATGGACAAGCCATTTGCCCGGTAATTTCAAGAAAGTTAGTTCGTCCTCGAGCACACTATGTTAATAGAGATATCCCCATATTTTTTCTGCCAAGACCGAAAACGAATCTTGGTTTGAATGCTCCTGTATATAGAATTTGTAAACTGGTAAATGAATTAAAGTTGGACATGTTGTTAAGCAAAGAATATTTTTATATTATAATATAAGTCAATCAAATTAATAATCTACTGCATATCATCATACAACTTGAAATATTCTAGGTCTGTATTGTAGCATTATGTATTTGGGTTAGGTAAAATTCGTTTCACATTTTCACAACTGAATTACTTATTATATACTTTTCTTTTCTTATTTACCACTATAGATAACGTTTCTCTGCTCACTGAAATCTGATTAGTCTTAAGGAAATAATTGTAATCGATTATTGGATTTATTTCTGTAAGATTACATACAAATAAAATAAAATAAAATAAAATAATGAGAAAAATGACAGATTGACACCATAAAGTGACACATGATCAAAGAAAAATGCTCGGCGTTGATAATCCATGATTTTCAAGCAATCTTCTTGATTCAAATGAATTCTTCACGTTCGACACGAATAAAATGTCCTCCATTGAACGTGTCTATATCGGTACCACGCTAAATCAGCCACGAAATCAACCATACCTAAAGCTCCTGTATAAAATCCCTCATAGACTCGAATCGGAATCAGTACAATCTCGTCAACAAACATGCTAACATTCCTCGTGTCATCAGCAGTGCTTGTTCTCCTCAGAAAAGCTGAGGCGGGCTACTACCCGATGGGAGCAGGCATGGGAGCCAACATGATCGATGGGAGCATGGGAGGCGTCGGTTTAGGAATGGGCGCAGGGAGCATGGGTATGATGGGAGGCGGGAAAATGGGAGGGATGGGCATGATGGGAGGTGGAGGGGTAGGAATGGGAGGTATGGGAATGGGAGAGATGGGCATGATGGGAGCTGGTGGGATGTCTGCAGGTGAGTTCAGTTTTTTTTTGTCATGTTCATTTGTTGCGTTTACTGGGTGGACGTAATTTATGAATGATAAGTTTTGTTTGATACTACATTCATTGGCTCATTATTTACTGATACAGAATTTACAGACTGAAAGTTTATACAGTGTGACACGACAACATTGGCTTATTTTAGAACTGATACAAAATTAACAGACTGAAAGTTTATACAGTGTGACAGACTTAAGATGAAGACTACACTGCATTTCAGTCGTTTTCGAAAGTGGAGATTTGATTTTGATTTTACTTACTTTACGGAATACTTAGCCCGAGTGACTGCTATAAGAAACAAGTAGGTTTATCCTATTTTCCCTAAATTGCTCCGGCTATTAAGGCAAAAAATATGAATCCTATAAATTATTTGATTTCCTCATTATCCCTACACGTGAACTGATACAAACCGTTGTCCAAAGTGCTAAGCAACAGGTGAATTGATATTATGGTAGTTTTAGTTTAAAATTTTTCAGTTACTTTCATGGAGATAGTTTTTAACATATAATTATGAAGCTGAAATTTGTGTTTTTTCACAATAATTTGACACAAAATAGGTATAAAATTATTATATTGTACTGTCAACAACTCTGGTACTCACATTTTAAAACTTTGTACCATATATCGACATACGTGTCGATACATGATTCGCTGTTGCGCTCCAATCAACAGTGCTGCTCCTAAGGTGGCGCATGTAGTTAGTAACAAAGCCTACACAGGCTAAAGAACCTCTTATTGGAAGGTCGATTGCCAATTTGGTATGTACATACATACCAACGAAGTTCATATTACTACTATACTAAATATGTTCTACCCACGCCACTGAAATTATTATTTTGTGTTTTTAGTTTATTATTATTAAATTATGTGAATTGCATATTACTTACATAGGTAACTACTTACTTCGAAACAAGTTCATCAAGTGTCAGTATTAGGTACTCACATGTGTTGATATTATAGGTACGATACAAACTTTCCCATGTCCATAATTGGGACAAATGGAACTATTCAACTATTTCATGTTTTATTAACGAAGTATATTCATAGCTATATAAAATTTGAGCATTGTTTAATCAATATTATAATAATTCACAAGGAAGTTTTTGAGGCTATAAATCTTGCATTAAAATTTTTATCCCCATTTGCAAGTATGTAGCAAAAATGTCTGTACCAAAAATCAAATCTCTGCTTTCGAAAATGACTGAAATACAGGGGTGTCTTTTTATTTTAAGAGTGTCACTCTGTATAAAAAAGAGGAAAATGGTATTGTATGATGATAAAGTAAAATAAAAATAAATATTTATATTTGAAATCTCACTTAAATCGGTTTCATAAAATTATTATGTGTAGCTAAAAAATCCAAAATGCTTGTCTATCTTCCGAAATGAAGAAAAATAGGGATTGAATCATAATTCTGTTGCACCCATTTTTTATTATTCACTATAAAGATCTTGCGTCCAATATAACAAGAAATGCAAGGTATCAGCGTTCGTTTCAGAAATATTATGTTTCTGCCTTGATTATACAGTATACACACTATAGTTTCTGCAATTTACTCAATTCTGTATCTCTCATCGCTTCCAAGTACATATCTCCATTGTGATCATTCAAAAATGATACACCCTGGTACACTAGTTATGTAAATGAAATTCAGCTAAAGATGGTTCACAAACATCAAATTCGAACGTCTCAAAAAATTTTCTAGGAATTGGCGGAGGTGCCAATATGATAGGTGGAGGTGCCAATATGATCGGCACAGGTTCTGGTATGATGGGCGGCGGTGCCAATATGATGGGCGGCGGTGCCAATATGATGGGCGGCGGTGCCAATATGATGGGCGTAGGTTCTGGTATGATGAGCGCAGGTTCCGGTATGATGGGCGGTAGTGTTAATATGATGGGCGCAGGTTCCGGTATGATGGGCAGCGGCGCTGGTATGATGGGCGCAGGTTCTGGAATGATGGGCGCAGGTGCTGGTATGATGGGCGGTGGTGCCATGATGGGCGCTGGTATGCACGGCTATGGGGGTAGTGAGATGGACCAATCTGCATACAATGGTGGCAACAAGAAAATCAATGACCACAGGTATTCAAGGATCGGCACGTTGAATATAGAGTATGATATATATACAGGGTGTCCACCCTAAGGACTTTTCAACCGATTATGATAACATTTTTTGAATAGGTGAAATTGAGGAAATTTTTCGCATGAAATATCGACGAATTCTACATTCATATAATTCCAGATTTTGTGATTTTCCCTCCTCGTCTCTTTAAAATAAAAATATGAATACTATTTCAATATACGTGTAGTTAGAACAAATCAGATGATTCGCCCCAAAATGTCACTGCGTTTGAAGAATTTTCCTATCAGAGAGTCTAAAAGATAAATTCATGAGCTTGTCAGTGACAATTTGTATTGAAAAAGGTTTGGAGAAGGTAAATAAAGGTATATGGAAAAAATATCAAATCTTTACTTTTCTTCGGACGTTCCGGGAACGAATCTGCTCCCGTTTTCAACATAAAAAATGGATTTTTTTGTATTGAAAATTCGTGTTTGTCCTGACACTTTTCAGTCCTTAGTGACAATTGGTGACGTTGGCAATCAAATGAGTTAAAGGATGTTTTCATCAATCAATCTTGAATTTACCATTTCCATTTTCAGATTTCAGTAGTGAATACCATGTTCTATGTATATCAACTGAACAGGAAGCAATGCTATTGTCTTCGTTCAGAAGAATGCAAGCAGATTCCTTGATTTTTCTCTTCTGGTTGTTATCTTCTTTTCCAATGATGAAAAATGTCAGGACAAACACGAATTTGCAATACAAAAAATCCATTTTTTATGTTGAAAACGGGAGCAGATTCGTTTCCGAAACGTCCAAAGATAAGTAAAAATTTGATATTTCTCTTCTACAAACCTTTTTGAATCAGTGTTTGACAATGTATGATTTTCTGATATAGGTACGAACAAGAACATGGTAAACACGGTGGCCAATTCGATCAAGGTCAGTCGGGGTACAATAAAGGCGAATTGGCTGCCAAGGATATAAAGGGTGACTCAGGGTACTACAATGGGGCGAATGGTGGCAAGAATATCTACGAGGATGGCAAGATGTACAACGGTGCACAACAATTCAACAAAGAAGGTAAAACACTGAAATGATTTTCACATTTACAATGTTCATAGGTACAGGGTGATTCACCATAAATCCCCCCCCCCTCTAGCTCACTTATTTTTGAACCGATTTGAAAATTTGAAAAATCATCTATAATGATTTTTCAGAAATTTTGTTCCCGTTGCATTAGAAAATACAAGGTGCTCGGAACAAACGATCTACAGAGTACTACTTGATTTTTTCGAATGGAACACCCTCTATTTCATTGTATTTTCATATTCCCCCTGAAGAGCTGATTTCATCAATACATCACACTTGGGGTCTAGCGGGAATGATTACAGAGATATAGGGTGTTCAAAATCGAGATTTTTCAACTTCAAATTCAACTAAACTGTCAAAATTCAGTTTGTTGTTAAACAAAATTGTTGGCGTTCCTTCCAAAACACTCATCGCAAAAATGGTTTTTTGCTAATTTTGATCAACAAGGAAGATTCGATCATATCGTGTGATACATCATTGTAATCAGAAAATAAAAGACTTTTCAAAAATGCAAAAATCCAATATGGCACCTATAAGAAAAAGCAAAGTTGTGTGTTGTAACTTTGGCATCAAAAACGTCATGGGAAATACAATGACAGATTCAGATTCCTTGTTAAAAAGTGCCTCAAGAATGTCCTAGTCAGAAACGTCTAGGTCTTCTGGTTTTCGCTTGAAAAAATAAAAACGAAAATTACAAATTTTCGTTTTATTCGGATAGTTTGAAAACTAAAAATGTCACATCGAATTTTCTTGCAGATAAATGTTCGTATCTCTTATAATAACTGAGATCCCCATGGTGAAGCTAGAAAAACGGGCACCCTGTATAATCGCAGATTCGCGATTGGGTTTTATCAATTCAGAATTTTTCTCCAGTCCCTGTATGATGAATATCAATTTGTTATACATACAAACAAATGATAAAGCTAAGTTTAACTAGAGTCCCTGTATATAACTTAGACAAGAGTCCGGACACAAAACTGACAGCCGTTGGGGTTTTTAATATTTTGTTTCATTTGGTTTGCCCACCTGACAATGTGACGAAACACCATAGTCGTTCCGCCCGCTTTTTTAAATTATTCCGAATGTCTGTCACTGTCACTTTGAAATTTTATGACCGCCAAAATTTAGCATTTTGAATTATTTCAATGTCCTGCTGCGTACATTATTGCGATAATTCATTAGAAAAGGGATTCAAGTTATTCAATTCTCCGAATGATCCTTCAAAGACAATGTCATGGAAGAATGCAATGAAACGTCCTGAATGGAAAATTTCAAGAAATCCGCAATATGTGAGGTAACTATTCAAATTTACTTGTGAAAACAGTACAAAAAGGATGAATTTTAGGCCCATTTTGATAAAGATTTTTTCAAGCTGATGGATTTCAAATTGAAAGAGTCTGCTGTGCCGTCAATTTATGAAATAGAGACGTTCAAAAAAAGAGTCCCGTCGTCATTGTATTGGGAATTACTGAATGATACGTTCGCAGAGAAAGAAAATGAGAATGAGATGATGCGGAAAGAAATTGAAAGTTTGAAATCAAAACTAGAAGATTTAGGGAAACTGAAATGTGCTATATCATCTGTCCACGGTGTTATTAATTCAGATCAAATTGAAAATGTACAGGTGAATGTAGACTGCAGGAAGAGGTGGGAAACACAATTAATAAACCACTCGCTATCAAATATATTGTTGTTTTGATTTTGTCACTTTTATTTCTGATGAGTGTTATTAAATTGAGAGAATCGGAGAAAATCATATTGAAACAATTATATATCTTCTATTTTTTTATATCCCAACAAAAAACAACTATATTTTCTTGGCTAAATGTGATACCACGTAAAACAATTAAATTATCTTTCTTATATCTGATGAAGTGAAGAAATATCTGATGACAAAAATTTGCAATAGCCATCTCAGGAATTGATTATGAAAATTATCGATTCGAAATTAGAAAGCCCTGTTGTTCATTATTCGAATAACTAATAGTTATTCTAGTTAAAATAGCCCTATTTCTCACTTCTACCTACGGCAATGAACGGTTTGACAAATAATCTAACCCTCAAAAGGGTTTCTGACAATCATTGATACTAGGGGAATTGAGAAGACAGAGCTCGGTATATATATCTTATTCCTTTATTCAATCATCAATGCATTTTTTGAAAACAGAAAAGGACAGAAGTATAGCTGTGTCCGGACTCTTGTCTAAGTTATATACAGGGACTCTAAGTTTAACTACTCACTTTTGCTACAAGGCGTTAAGAAGTTATATAAAGGTGAGAGATTAAGTTTTGTTTTTCCCTGTATAATGTGATCAAGCCATCATCAGCTTTTCTTGATAACATTTCGAACCATCAATCTACGATTTGATCGACATTTCACCTAAATCGGACAAAAATTGAAAAAAGTCAGAGGGATTTAATATTTGGATATATTCAATCCATTCAAGTATGAAACAAAAAAAAACGGATACCCATTATAGTGATATTCCTATCAAGTGCAGAAAGTGATTCTTTCCCGCATGCGAATGCCGGGCAAGCAGTCGAGTGTGGGAAAGACACTTTCTGCATGAGTTAGGAACAATATTTTTTCCACAAGCGTAGGAAATTGATTGATTTGTTCAATCAATTATTCCTGCAAATAGGAACAACTAACAATAGTAATATATTATCTATCATCTGATAATTAGTGATATATCTATTGTGTGTACCGTTTGAAGCATTATGTAGGTAAGTTTATTGCGGAAGTCAGCATGCCCATGGTGTTTGGCCTCTAGGTTTCAGACATTTTTAGGAAATGAGCCAAAAATACTTCTTTTTTATTTGGTGTTTTCACTTTTTTACCATTGCACCATTCAATAAATTCTTTGTAGTGCTTCTGATACCTATCTTAAGACTTCGTTGGCAATAATTCATCTGTATCGCATCTGTAGTTGGAAGTTTTTCATCACAATTCCACTGAATCGAAAATGACAGTAACGCTCTGTCTGTCACTTTGAGAATTACACTTACTAATTTGTGTTTTGATTGACATGAAAATATTTGTTTCCCACATCAGATCAATTAAAGGCTATATGTGAATTTATATAACAATCAATTATTATTTTTCAATATTTCTTCATTTTCACAATAAACAGTGCAATTTGATGGATGATTTTGTACAAACTTACTGAATACTGCAACAAAAATAACTAAGATTTTCATATTGTGCCACCCACCACTCATATTTTGCGAGAATATTATACAGTGTGTCCCACTTTGAGCAGCACCACCTTGATATTTTCTTAATCGCTGACAGATTTCAAAAATTTTGTGTTTCAACATGTACTTCTCAATGAGTTCTACATTCCTGAGTATCCAACACTCTGGTTGCACTACGACACGGCCAACTATGATAAATTGAAAATGCCTAAAATCAGTTAGTGATATCAGGAATTTTTTCAGCGGAAAACTGACATTCTCAACATGTTGAGAACTCTCTCAAATACATGTGGTCAAATTTTCATGTTGATATCATATACAGGGCGTTATTTATTGTCAATTAATTTTTGATGCTTGAAAATAATGAGAAAAGTATAATTAACATCTTGATTTCATTCAGATACCACTTAAAAGCACATGTTTCACAATGACCTAATACACAGGATGATATTATCCCCATTCTCAAGGGTGTGAAGAAATTTTGGTTCATTTCTCAAATGCCTCCAAATTTTTGATTTTGGAATGACGAGATCAAGAGAGGACTGTCTAAGACTAGGTACTTGTCGGATTATCATTGAAAAATGACCTGGTATCGTCACCAATAATTTTAATGATCTCTATTCTTTCCAAGAAAGTGAGCTTTCGTTGCATTGGCATTGCTCTACGAACACTTTGATAAAAACCTGCTCATTCAACAACAATCTGTCATTCTGTCAAGTTATTTGAAAATGTGAATATCGCGTGATTTCCATAGCCATCCTGACGGCTCCCTTATTTTTTATGCCTGAGCGAAAGATAGTTGAAGAAAGATAATTAAAAGTTGCGTTTCCACGGCAGACTTGATCATCATTTTGTGAACTCCTTGAGTGAAAATTGATGGGATCGGTATATTTTTTGGGGTAATACCATCAGTGAAACTTGATAAAATATTCCTTGTCATCCTGAACTCAAGGGTATAGGTATTTCAAGATCTTGATGGTTTCGTCTTCATCATGCAATTTGTGATGAAATAACTATAGTTGAAGCCTTATCGGCGAATGAAGAAACCTAAACTAAATTGAACCATTACTTTTTAAAGTTAAGTACGTGCCTTTTGGGGAAAAAAACAGAACATATGAAAATTGAATTGAAATATCAATACATACGTCACCCTGTGTATAAGTCATGAAGAAAAGTATGAAACAGGTGTTTTTATGTAGTATCTAAATGGATTCATAATGGTATTATATTTTTTTCATTATTTTCAAACATTAAAAGAATATTGACAATAAATAACGCCCTGTATATGATATCAACATGCAAATTTGACCAGATGTATTTGAGGGAGTTCTCAACATGTTGAGAATGTCAGTTTTCCGCTGGAAAAATTCCTGATATTACTAACTGATTTTAGGTATTTTCAATTTATCATAGTTGGCCGTGTCGTAGTGCAATCAGAGTGTTGAATACTCAGAAATGTAGAACTCATTGAGAAGTACATGTTGAAGTACAACATTTTTGAAATCTGTCAGCGATTAAGAAAATACCAAGGTGGTGCTGCTCAAAGTGCGGAACACTGTATGAATGTTTTCCCGCACTAGTGTGGGGAAACTCTTCCCGCACTACTGCGTGAAAATGACACTTTCCAAGCTAAATTGCGTGAGGGTATAGGGTGAATCACGCACGCTTGTAAAAAAAATATTTTTCAGGTTTGAATGAAGGCCAGATGACGGCCGCCAAAGGCCACAAAAAAGGCCACAAAATCAAGAGCTTCAAGAAATCCCACCAGAAGCAAGAATCCGGCAACAACGAAGAATACTATGACGAGGCCAACGATGAAGGCGGAAACTACATGTTCAACGGACAGTCCGGAAAATTCGGAGAAAATGCCGCTTCCGCTTTCAAGGGCGGTAAACAAGATGGCGCTTTCGACTCTTCAGAAGCCAAGAAGGAGGGGCATTTCGAGAAGAAATTCCTGACGGACAAAGAGGGGGGCAACTTGGGCAGATATGGCGAGACCAAGTTCGGGGGAAGTGGGGCAACTTACGGGATGGATAACGGGGCGGGGGTAAATAGCATGGCGGGGCATCACAGTTCCAGCAAGTTCTTCAAGCAACATCCCTTCTACAAATCTTATTATTGAATAGAGTAGAATAAGTGAGCGAATGAATATATGCATTGATTTTATTGTTTTGTAATTTTGGGGAACTAGGAAATACAAGAATAATAATAATAAATCCTTGTTTTTATTCATTTAAGAACATCCGCAAACGACAAAGAGACCAGATTTGATAACCTATATACCTATATTCTCGCCTATATTTGAAACAATGGAAAACCTGGAATCCTGGAAACACGAACAAATTGTGTTCTTGAGAACATCCACAATAGAAGAAATGCACATTGACATTCTCATTCTAAATTTTATTGGAATCTCAGAGAATATACAGTGTGTCTCACTTTCTAATATGGAAGCACCCTTTCACGTGAAATTATTGTGCTACGATTCTGAGATTTGCAGGAGCTAGAGATATAACAAAAATAGTATTTGAAAAAACTAAAGAAACACCCTTTCATAGATAGCCAAACTAAGAAGGAGTAGAATATAAAATAATAAGTATGTGTTGATCAATACACAACATAGAAAATATTATCATCCTCCATCATCCATATGTTATGTATTTATTAACACTCTTTTATTTTTTGAACTACCTACTATTCATTTTCTACTTTTTAGTTCGGCTGACTACAAAAGCGTGTTTTTTAGTGTTCTTATATTTTTTGTAGGTACCCAATTTTGACGAAAGGATCATAATCTCCGACCTCGTTAACGCCCAGATACCGAATCTGATCATATAATCACAAAACTCGTCCACCATATTGGATCCGCCATCTTGAATTTTCCAATTGCGACGAAAGAATCATAATCTCCAATCACGAAAACCCTCAAATACAGATTTTTAGTAGAATCGGATCATAATTACAAAACTCGTCCGCCATAGTGGATCCGCCATTTTGAATTTTCCAATTTCGACGCAAGAATCATTATCTCCGAACTCGAAAACCCCTAGAAACCTATTTTGAATAGAATCGGATAATAATTACATAACTCTTTCGCCATATTAGATTCGCCATCATGAATTTTGAAATTTTGACGAAAGAATCATAACCTTATTTCTTATTCCGAAAATCCGCAGATACAAATTTTGAATAAATTCGGACCATAATAACAAAACCGCCATCTCGAATTTCCAAATTTTGACAAAAGTATGAGGAAAAATTTAATTTTCCAGAACTGAACATTTTTCAGGAAAAATATGAATAGTTAGTGAATGGGATGTCCTGATTAGAAATCCGAAGTGATTTTCAACATATCTAGCCTCCTAATATCATTTTCTGGAAATGTGGGAGGTTCCATGGCTGATGACGAGCAGTGTTTATCACTGGAGATGACTCCACTTGGTCATGGAGTGTATTTTTGGTATACCTTTCGCTCCTGCAAATTTCAGAACCTCAAAACTCAACAATTACGTAAGATACAGGGGTGCTTCCATTGGAAGTGAGACACACTGTATATACCTCTTTGTCCTGTTTGTTCATCCAAGAAAATTCAAGAGAATCTACAACTATTAAGGGAATGCACACTGACATCCTTAAAACATTCTAGAAAATTATAGAGGTATACGAAAAAAATGTCTTTTTGTCCCTTTTTTGTTAATTTGAGAACATTCACAACTTTCATAACTGAGAAAATGCACATTTGTAGTCTAATTTCAAATTTAGGGAAACTAGAGATGCTTAAAAAAGTATCCTCATCGTTTTTGTTCATTTGAGAAAATGCACAAATAATATCCTTATTTGAAATTTTGGAAAACCAGAAAATACCATGAACCTATGTCTTATATATTTGTTTGTTCGTTTGAGAACATCCACATCTGGAACATAAAACTTTTTTTCTGTGAAGGGGAAAAAGTTTGGCATTTCATCTCTGTTGGCAGGTTATAAAATGTCACTTTTCATAAATTACTTTTTTCCCGTGGGAAAATATATACCGTCTCCGAGAGAGAACTGCAAGTCCTTTTATCTTCCATTCGACTTCACGGTTACGTATACCTATTACTAAACAACCACTAAATTCGCAATTTTTTTAAATCAAATCACAGAATTAGACTGACAGAAGTGACATCAGATATTTGATTACTTCAAAAGAATGATAAAGATGCCTACAACGCAGGTGTCCCTACTGAAAAAAACTTAAAATTTCACGTCGATAAGTTTCAGATTTCAAAATATTGATTCGTCCCTTTTTCTGTCACAGAAAAAAATAGAGTATTATACACGGGAAAAATCTTAGATTTTACTTCACGGTTTTTTGTCTCTCGACACGTAGCTAAAATCTACTTATTTTTTTCCCTTGTATGATAAATAACTATTGACACACTGCTTTCAGTGCTTTTTTTATAAGTATAGATGCAATTCTTCATAAAAATCATAAAAATAAAGAAAGTTTTTCACCAAATATTTCTGTTTCATTTATGCGTAATATAAGCAGAGACACAAAAAAAAACGAGTTCAACTTTAAAGCAATAATGTTTATTATTATTGTGAAGACACAACCAATCTACCACTAAAATGGAATATTATCAAGCCTTTTTTTATAAATAAACACACATTTACATCAATTTCTACAATATTCAGATAAAGAAATAATATTTATTTCTACAGTTACAGTCTTTAGAAGAGTGATTTGAATATTCATCAGCAAACGTTGGATGGTCAACATGGAATGTTTGTGTTTTTTTTAATCCAAAAAGAAATGCCCGCAAACAAATTTTGAGTCAGGAATATTTCCATACATCATTACCAAAAAAATAACTTGACTCCTGTAAAACAACTCCTAATTTGTGGAGAGAAAAATAATGTTGTGGCAATATGCTGATTTTTGAATGATGAAAAAACAAACATGGTTGAAAACCCCGAACATTTTCATAATTTTTCAAATTCGGCCATAATCCACATGTTCGTTTTCCAAATGTTTGCCGGCGTTTAACTTTCCATTTATAATAAATATTGTGTATGTTTTTTTTTTTCGCATTCACTTATATTTACACTTACAGTGTGAATTTTGAAAATGGAATAAATTCAATACTTAACTTATTACTCATCTCCAAAACCAAAAATATTTCTAGAAAAATTCTTGATCACTTTCGTTTCGAATATCTGAAGGCGCATTTTTCACATATTATACCCAAGAAAAATACAGGGTGATCCGTGTTGGAGTGTGAATTTGGTGTAGAGAAAAATTGCGCCTTGTTGAATTTGTTTAGAAAATATTTCTGTGTCCTCATTTATTCTTTTTTCAAAATTGACACTGTGAAAGGATGATTGTTTAATGCATAATTCCACACTTTTGGGACTAACTTTCCAGTTTTTCAAGTTATATTGAAAACAAATGAAGGTAACCCTTGGTGGAATTTTAAACTACCACCCTATACATACATTTATTAGGACAACAACGAATATAGACTAGAAGGTTTGTTCGATTCATCATGATGACGTAAGAGGAAATAAATCTTTGGTATGGCAAAACATCAAATAAATATTTGAACATTTCGACTAGATCAATATGTGAAATTTTGGCGAGGGAAAACAGCAGTTGCTCTCCTTTCTTCAGGATCAGACAAATTCCGGTAATGCCTGGATAAGATGAGCCCTATTAGCTAAAAAAATAATAGAGCATGTTTGTAAAGCACACAGGGAGTCCACATAAAGAATTTTGAGTCTTTATGTGTCTACTCTATTCTCATGCTTTTCGTTAGAAACAAAAACATTTCCAAACCAATGTTTACAAACATATCCTAGCATTTATTTTGATCCTTGAAATGGGGAAGTTTACTATATTGTGGTTTTTACCTCACTGTGAAGTTAGTAAAAAATGAATATATACGTATTTTTTCATTTATTCGTAAGATCAAATTTCACTTCAGAAAAAAATAAATAAAAGAGGAACTTGGCTCCTCCACCATTCCTATCACGTACTTTCTGAAAATCCACATTCACACTGAGTTTGAATTCGATTCTCTGTGCCAGTACGACGTTGCCGACATCATCAATATGTCTAGATTCCCAGAAATTGTTCTTCGAATGCGTAATAGCTATATCATCGGATCTATTTTCGAGGAAAGTTGCAGATTATATCTTGCAACAGCGCCTAATACTTCGAGTCCGTCCACACCACGAAAAATACTGACAGGCACAACAAGAGGAAGGAGCCATGGGTGTCGGCTTCATTTTGTTCTGATCGATAGCAGTAAATTAGGAAGGATAGTATCATTGAATGTAGCCGACAGTGATTCATTGATGCAATGATATTTTCGTTTAGGATCGAGCTCTATTCGAGATATTTCAATGCATAAATAACAAAACAATAACCTGTCAGAGTGAAGCCAACTACCTTCTGCATTCCTGCTCAGAGTGCATTTGTGGTTATGTATGTTTTTGTTTACCAGTTTTACTTCTCCTTCGCAAATTAGAAAGTGCATTAATTTGAAAATGAAAACGACATGGACTGTATCGGTCGCCATTCTGTACAGCGTGGACATAAAACTGGAGAGTTCCGAACTTATTTTATGAAAATTTATCTGAAGGAAACTTCCCCATTCCCTCAAATTCAAATTGATTGATTTTTACAATCTAAACAACACGATATTAAAGAATGAAACAGTTGATTTGGAAACTCTACTGTAAGTTAACTTTGGTTGTAAGTATAGTAAAAGTTGATCCATGCAACCTTCACATCAATGGGGGAGACCACTGGTTTTTTGAAACGACATTATCGTGAACTCTATACTGAAAAACTACCAGTGAATTAATTTTGATTTTTTTCATTCATGCTAAGGCGATGAAAAAAATGAATTAGAATATTTCCATTTCAAAACACATAATCCCTGCGCCATTTGAAGTTGTCAATTCATTGGTGAGACTGGTGCGACGTCTTAGCCCCAACACGCCTATTGTCCTTGAACTCCTCAATCACACTGCAACACTGCAGAATGACGAGGTATCAGAGAGAGATAGCTACAGTGCGGGACTAATACGTCACGGCTCCACCATCATATCTGGCTTTTCGAAATAACGAATGAAATATGCTGATTTCAAAACGATATAGATTCGATTTCCTTCAACTTCAACTCATAATATTGATTATAAACTACTCAACACTAATTTCGTCGCACACCAAAATGTCGCCCCTGTTATAATGTGAATAACTTTTTCCAGTTTAGAACAATTTGAATTTGGTTCACACTGTTCGATAGCTCAGTCCTTCAGCTATAAAATCTCGTACTTCATTGAAACATAAGGGTATTCACATAAAATCTCTACATGGGGTTTTCCGACACTGTGCGAAATTTCGGAATATTCAAAAGGCTCTCAAATGGTGCAAAAAAATGTATTCTCAACTTCGACAACAGAGGCATGAAGATGATCTCATTACCTCGACATATTTCGCGAATCAACATCCTACCTCTATTATTTACAGAGTGATCTCAAAAAATCAACTTTTTGGTTTTGCAGCCATAACTTTTTTCGACGTCAACCGATTTTGGAAATCTTAGGCTCATTTTGAAGATAAAACTTCAGATGAAGAGATTTGAATATCAGAATCGACTCAAGATGGCTATCAAAGTTCTAGAGTTTTCTTGAAAGTGACCCAAATCTGAAACAGCCTTCGAATCTCGGTTGGGAGGAGAATTGAATGAAAATCAACTTGTTCTCGGAAAAAGAATTCATTCTGGATGCGTCCATATTTTCCTCGCTCTCAGTAGTCAAGAATTGTGCGTGAGAAAACACAATTGAAACAATCATGTTCCTGCAAAAACATTAGATCATTTCTCCTCTGTAATGCTTGGCCCGCCGTAACCAACGTTTCAAGAATCACAATGAGTGACTGACAAACCCGACCAGCTGAGGCTCATCATAAATCGTGTACCAACAAGAGCAACAGATTTTGATTTTTTGAATAAAGTGATTTTTTCAACAGTAAGTTGTCACGTACATAACATGCGATTTAAGAATATGGAAGAGTATTCAAACGAACAACGTTTATTTATTGTAAAAACGCATTTCAAAAATGGTGAAAGTTTCACGAAAACAGTCGCAGTAATGCGCCGAACGAATCGACAGTAATAACCAAAGAATTCGTTTCGGAGATTAGCCCTTTGAATGGATCGGACTGTCGTGTTTAGCCGTTACCACCGAATCGGTGGTAACGGTTTAGCAGATCCGCGATTTGGAGGGAAGATAACCCTTGTTCCCTCATTTGTGGAATCAGTTCCAACTGGTCAGGCGTCAGATGCGGCATCGAAACTATCAAAATCTGTTTATGATTCGAAAACGACGTCTAACCTGACTTGTCAGTCAATTACTGTGATTCTTGTAACGTTGGTTACGGGCCATGCATTACAGAGGAGAAATGGTCTGATGTTTTTGCAAGAACATGTTTCAATTGTGTTTTCTCACGCACATTCTTGAGTACTGAGAGCGAGGAAAATATGGACGCATTCAGAATGAATTGTTTTTCCGAGAACAAGTTGATTTTCATTCAATTCTCCTCCCAACCAAGATTCGGAGGGCGTTCCAGATTTGGGTCACTTTCAAGAAAACTCTAGATCTTTGATAGCTATCTTGAGTCAATTCTGATATTCAGATCTCTTCATCTGAAGTTTTATCTTCAAAACGAGCCTAAGATTTTCAAAATCGGTTGACGTGGAAAAAAGTTATGGCTGCAAAACCAAAAAGTTGATTTTTTGAGATCACTCTGTGAATAAGAGAGATAGGAAGTTGATTCGCGAAATATCTCGAGGTTATAAGATCATCTTCATGCCTCTGTTGTCGAAATTGAGAAAACATTTTTTTTCACCATTTGAGAGCCTTTTGAATATTCCGAAATTTTGCACAGTGTCGGAAAACACCATGTAGAGATTTTATGTAAATACCCTCATGTTTCAGTGAAGTACCAGATTATAGTTGAAGGACTGGGCTATCGAACAGTGTGAACCAAATTCAAATTGTTCTAAACTGAAAAAAGTTATTCACATTATAACAGGGGCGACATTTTGGTGTGCGACGAAATTAGTGTTGAGTAGTTTAGATCAAACGTAAATCATGATTCGTCGATTGAAAGAGGTTTGCACAGATTTCTTCCCTCAGTGGTCTTCCCCATTCAATTGAAGGAAAGAAGAACACACTGTTATAAACTTCTGAACTGGAACAAAAATGAAACTCCAGTATTGATTTCAAGTGATAGGTTGCATGAATACAATCAAAAAGTACGAAAAAATACCACCCACCCGTTTTCTACAAAGTTGTTGCACTATAGAAAAGCACTGGGGTTAGCTCTCGGATCTTTCTGGTTACGGTAACGTACTGTTAAAAGCACTCCCATAAACTGAAACATGCAACCACAACCATAATGGACTAGTTATCAATACTATATTGTATGGTGTCCCCCAGTATCTCCATTGTTATTTCGATTCTAGATTTAAAAATGTTGATACATCGGCTATGAAAATATATGTACAATGTACCGGGTGTACCTCTAAAAAAGGACGCCGGCTGTATCTCGGAAACTATTTGCCGCACAGGTTTCGGAAAAAAATATGAATAATGAAAGTGGCCAAGAGAAATCTCTGGAAATTATTTTCAAGTTTCCAGGACAGCCCCTAGACGGCGTAATTGCATTGGCCAGTTTAATAAACGGGTTTTTATGAAAATTTGATATATCGAGACATATCAAAAACACGTATTCCATGTTCTCGAGTTGATTCCCAATCATTTCGATCAAAAAAAATTGCGCTAGCTTTTTAAACGAAAGAGTGAGGGAAGGATGAACAGTACTTTGAAAAAACTCTCATTATTACGGTTTGGTGTAACGGAATTCAACGATCTTGGTCTCATTATGCAGGTTTTTCTTGGTTCTGAATGATGAATCACGAATCAAGTCGATTTAAATCCTGTGCTGGCTGCTAGATGGCATCGTTTGAAAAATCAGACAATTTTCCATTTTTTTCGAAAATTTCAAATGGGACCATATATTCATTCTACTCGAATATGAAAGTAGAGCAAACAAGAAGAAAAATGGTGAAAACCACGAAATGATACCTCTTGAAGAACCGGTGAAATACTCGAAATAATATTATGAAAATATTCACCACAGGAATTTAACTTCAATAATCGTAATCAGAAATATCCTAAATCTATGAAATTATGATTTCGATAATTCATTTATTTTGGTTTTCCTGAAAATTGCAAAAATCGCAAAAATTCCTGAAAATTGCAAAAATTGCAAAAATTCCTGAAAATTTCAAAAATCGCAAAAATTCCTGAAAATTGCAAAAATCGCAAAAATGCCTGAAAATTGCAAAAATTCCTGAAAATTGCAAAAATCGCAAAAATTCCTGAAAATTGCAAAAATCGCAAAAATTCCTGAAAATTGCAAAAATCGCAAAAATTCCTGAAAATTGCAAAAATCGCAAAAATGCCTGAAAATTGCGAAAATTCCTGAAAATTGTGAAAATCGCAAAAATTCCTGAAAATTGCTAAAATCGCAAAAATTCCTGAAAATTGCAAAAATCGCAAAAATTCCTGAAAATTGCAAAAATTGCAAAAATTCCTGAAAATTTCAAAAATCGCAAAAATTCCTGAAAATTGCAGAAATCGC